TTTACCATTTTAGCAGCTTGCATATGCCATTGATATAATATATCAATGGCATATGCAAGCGGCTAAAATGGTTATGTGGAAAGCGCGCACTTGCGCCATTTCTGGTGTATAAGAATGATCATTCCTCCATTATCACCATTGTCATCCTCTACTGATGAGCTCCGACAGGGAGCGAAACAGCTGTCTAGAGGCGTGGAGCAATATTATCTCTCAACGGAAGTGTCCTTGCTGGTGTCTGTATGGTTCGGCTGAAGAGCGCGTGGTTGTGATGAGTTGGGAATGCAATGAATTGAAAATATGGCCGAAAGCTCTGTTGCAATATTTAGTTCTGATGCTTAACAATGATTAAATATACTTTCAATGATGTGTTACGAGAACAAAATACAGTGCCAAAATAGAACGAGGGAAGGTGAGACAATAGAAGTGAAGTGAGAGCTAAGTGCAACGGCGGGTGAGAAATTATAACGCTAAAACTGTGTAGTGAGACAAACAATCATGCTGTGCACCTACGAAAACAAGTTTAACGCAACTACATGTTTCTTTTGCTTACAAAGATCAGGCTTATGCAAAGGAATACAAACAGCCTCAAGCACTTTCAACTGACTAGCATACCGTGCACGACAAAGAACAGAAAAACTAAAATCATCATACACCTGCAGACACTTAGGGTGAGACAACAAGTGAAGAAAAACGGCAGACTTCTTACGATCACAATCACCATCTGATTCCTCGTCCCCGACAACCGCAACCTCGTCTCCCGTCTCATCTCCCAACGCGTCCTCAGTGTCGTCCTCCGTGTCATTCTCCTCATCAACACCGATCGGTCCCAGGCTCGCGTCATGTGGTTTCGCCTCTGTTCGTTGACTCCTCCTTTGATCTTGATGGTAAATTGTTACCATTGTTGTTGTTGTTGTTGTTGTTAAATCTTGTGTTCCCAGTGTCCTCGACGGTGCTTGATCTCCAGTACTGTAATAATTCATTGAATAATTAGCCGTCGATCGTCTATGTCTTTGAATGTTGATTGTGTTACTTTCTTTGTTGAATTCCGTTCCCTTCAGCCTTCTTTCTCGTTGTTCATGTTCAGTGCTTGCCTCATCCATATATGCACGTGCCACCGACTCAGCCCCAGCACCGCCGATGATAGATGTAGGTGGCGGTTCTGGGGGAGGCAACGGCAAAGACGGCGATGAGGGCATTACCTCATCACAGCGTCCACTTTGGTTTTGAGCTGAATGTTGTTGTGGTGTGTTATCTTGTGTTGTTATGGTGCATTGTGTTGTGGTGACAATATGCCCATTACCCGACTCCAAGGCTCTCGATACGGGTAATGGAGGCACTATTGCCGATAACTGAAATTGTGCTAACGACGGCTGTGGCCGAGGGTTCTTCAGTGGCCTGCCGCGTTTGGGTCGCAGTGCCCGTGCCGAGCCAGTCAGCATTATGCAGTGGGACGCCCTGCTTGATAGGTGCGTTCAGATGTTGAAGAGTCCTTTCAACGCACCGACTACCGCATTGTCGGCACTCAAATTGGTATACCAATTTAGAATTTATAACAACAATTAGGAGTATAATAGATGCAGGCATGGCCAGACAACAACGAGTTCATGGAATTTTTAAGGATTTTTATGTTATTCAAAATCGACTTTCGTGTTCCGCTTTTCGTGTTCCGTGTTGACACGTAGGATACACAACCTAAATACACTCGTGTGAAACGTTTCGTAATGATAGGACAATTCCTTGAGGAGTCGGTATGATAAAGGTCAACTTGTATCATATCTGAGACACTCTCTCCTGTCGCCTATGCACTTGTACCAGTCTAAAAAAGTCAAGTATGACGTTGTGCGTAATCATCACACAAAAGTACTAGTGTTCCAAGCACAGCATAGCCTGGGCTATTGACATGTGCCCAATCTCCATCTCCTCGTTATTACCATCAAAAAAATTACCGATAAAAGTGACTGCAGCCAGGGTTATCTACTTTCCAAACCACACATATGTCTAGCTTCCAAACGTACATGCGACACTCAGCAAGAATGTAATTCTTAACAGACAAATTCCAGCACCGTGCCTAACAACAAGCAGGGATGCTGCAACTGTGTGACATTAAGACCTGTTTACTGCCAGTACATCCCTCAGATACACCAGTTGCCGATTTTGTATATCCCCTGTCATGTTCAGGAGCACTTGTATAATTTTCCCATTAAATTTTACCAGAATTCAAAGCACTGTTCATCGATTTTCATATAGAAATCTTCTCGTGATGTGCAAGCAATATGTGTGCTTTGACACACAAGACTCCTTCTACTGCACATATTTCAAGACGGGATACTCATAAATCCCATCGCTTCCTCAATCGTTCATGGTTACAGACTGTTGGGCAGACGGTATGGTCCGTCTTGACATTCGTTATAGTGATGCACAGTTCCTGTAGATTCATCCCGTCGATACAACGCACGTAATGTGTGCAAATGCGTTGCATTGTTATATTTTTCAGGCGCGGCAGTGTGTTACACGCCATTTGAAACCATAAGTACTTTTTTGCTAATATTTTTGTCGCAAAGGAAACAGGAAAGTAAGTTTAGAATGGCCGAACACTATTTTTGTAAACCCTGTGAAAGCGGTCTTTAGTGGCAGGTGGTCTTTAGGTAGACTTGCACGGCATAACTCTACTTCAAGGTGAGACCGTCCGTGCTTGGCGACGTCATCTGTAGTGCCAGGCTGGTCGCTAGTAACGGTGGTCTTTAGTTATAAGTTTTACTGTTTACTGTCTTTTAAAGATAATCAAGAGCGGTAAGCAGCAGCATTCAGATGAGATGGAATCGGAGAAAATAATTTTAAAGGAAACAGTCATGGGAAGGGAACTATCTGAAAAGCGAAAAAAGGGCAGACCCACCAGCACTCGAGCCCGGGTTCTTGCTTGCCGGCAGCAATGCCCTAACCACTGAGCTATGGGCTGCCTTTGGAATGAAAAACTTGCCAGCGCCTTCTGGATTGGGCCTATTTCCATATCACAGTGGTTAAAGGATTGCTCATGACAAACAAGGTCCCAGGTTCTAATCCTGGGGAACCTTGCGTTATTCTCTCCTTCAGGCAGTTCATTCTCCTGACAGTTTGCTTTTTTATTCAGTATACTTGTTGGTCCGTTTCATCGCAGTTGTCGCTTATCTATCGCAACTAAGAACAGGAGTTTTTTTACCGCTCTGTAAAATTTCCAATACGCATAGTGAAGAAGCATGATACAGGATTTCTTTCCGCCACAAGAAATAAATTCAGCGATGGAATCTGATGAAGCAAGTCGAAGAAAGGAAGCAAGGTTACAAAAATGTACAAAAGAAAACAGCGACGGAGCGCCTTCTTGCACTCAAGCACTCAAGCTTTAGTTTATCCGACTCTGGCTCTGTATCACTCGAGCTGATGCCACTTGAGCTGACATTCACTGGTGTTTATAGCTGCTGGCGTAGAGTACCGTATCTCTTTCTTTCTCCGCTTGGCGTATAGCAGCGATGGGAAAGGAACAGTCGCGGCTGTCACTTTGGCACTTGGAGGAACGTTACCCGTCTGTCACTACAGTACTGTGTGTTCAACAATGTTTTTGAATCAGGCACACATCCCTCACCAGACAGCTGTCATACGCTCAGCTGGATACACTGACCACGACTCTTGTACTGCCGCTGCCAGGTCGGACGATGTCTTCTTTGCCACCATCTCGCCATCAGTTTGCAGGCTTGCAAAGAATACCAGGTCATTGCAGTTCAAACATTGCAGTTCAAACAACTCAGCTGGCTAGCCTGGCCGTGACTGTCACGCTCTCCAGGTCAGGATGTCGATTTCCCCTGCTACAGTTCCGGTCTTTGAGCTGCGCTTGGCTTTTCGCTGCAGTGAATGTGTGCATTCACTGCAGTGCATTCACTGCAGCGAAAAGTTTCCCACTTTCCCATCAAAATTGTATGAATCGCGATGCCACTGGCGCTAGTCGCGATGGGTTTTTTTCTTTCTGGTCTCCTTTGATCTTGCCATCACAACCTCCCAAACGAATGTGAGTTAGATATTGAGATCGGACTGGGTTTTACCTGTCAAAAGGTGCGTGGGAGATAAGCGACAATTGCGATGAAACGGACCAAGTAGATCAAGGATTATCTAAGATAATCAGAAGAACAATAATACAGTGCGTCCGCAATTGTCAATATTTTGGAAAGCTCTCAGACTGTAGATACTTTAAACTGGTTATTTAAAACATCTTTTTGTCGTTCATAGGTTGTCATTGCAGCTGGTGCAGCAAATATGTCACACTGAGCTGCTATGACGCGAATAAGGGATATGGACACAGCTTTGTGTACGGGAAATTTCCATAATAATTATACAATGCGTTTTTACTTCTTTCTCAGACAGTGAATGTTGAATTTGTTTGTGTGACAATCTGTGGACTGCACGGAACAACGGCGCCACGGCTCGTCTCTCTCACTTTTATTCGTACGCAATAATCAGCCAAAACGAACATGCTATCGACTATGCTAGTATCTAAGCCTGAGGAAATATTTACAGATTGTTTAGTGCTAAGTGTTGGGTGGTAATTTGGTAGTGATGAGCGCGGTGTATGCAAGCTCATACTGGAGTATATAAAATTGGTGCTGGATACGTGTCAGGGCTATAGCAGTGTTATGCTAGTTCAAAAGTGTTGCTGGAGTAGACAGAGGGCTATGTACACAGTGTGTGGTTGTTGGGATTAGAGGGCTGTGGAGACAGCTTTCTTTGACTGCGCTAGATGTGCGGAAAGCTAATGATACCATCCTGTGGTGCACTAGCGGTCACCTTCTGTCCCCATGAGCTACCTTATGCCAAATGTTAAGAAATGTTTAAGTCATCTATAAGTACTAGGCCAAAGTGAGTAAGACGACAAGTCTTTGATCCGAAATAGAAGAGACTCCTTAAGTTTAGGCTACGGCTTGTGGAGAATTCACAAATACAAATACAATTATTACTCTTTCCGATCGTCATCTCACGGTTGTTTGAAGATCTTGAGGGCGAAGACGTCGGCGAAGGAGTTGTGTTCCTTTCTACAGAATGATATGCGCCGCGCCTATTGCGTCTTGACAGGAATTAACAATAGCCTAACCATGCAGGTAAATAGTTTCTAAAGTTGTTTTTCTTGTTTTGTCACTTTGTTACGAGCTACAATGACTACCGTAACATTTCTGAAGATGCATAGGCAACTGCAATTGGAGGAAGGTTCGGTTTGGTGTGCGTGTGGCAAATGAACCAGATTTGAGATGCCCACATGTTTTAGTTTAGACATGGTGCAAGATCTAAAGGTGGTTAGAGCATAGTTTACGACAGTTCACTTCCCAATATTGCTTACTATTACTTCAGTTTAGATTAACCATCTTCCTTGTACATCGGTGGTACACTAAAACAAAAGTCATTGTCAATTTCTAGTAAAGTTTTTATCGCCGGTAGAAAAATCAGACTTTAGATTATTTTTATAAACTGGTAAGAACATTGTTTAGCGTTCATAGGACTTCATTTCGACCTGTGTTGCAAGGCTGTAAATCTGAGCTGTCATTAGGCGATAACGGGATATAGAAATAGCTAACTGTCCGCGTTGTACATTGTACATGAACAATGCAACTTTGTTCCGTTCTCGGTCATTGAATATCGAAGTGGTTTGCGTGATAACACGTGGACTACACAAAAAACAGGGGCATGGCCAATGTCAAGCCTAGTTCACATTCGACGGGGCGCGACGGGACGTGACGTAAGGATCGACGGGAAACGACGGGACGGTCTGACGGCGTCCAATGTGAACACCAGGAACGGGAACGCAACCGTACTACCGTACAGATCGGGAAGCGACGGGAAGAGTTGGATCGATCCAACTTTTCATACCGTAGACGGGCGTAGACAAGCGTACAAAACGGCTGCAATTCGAGTGTGAACAGGGGACGGCGTAGTGCGCCGACTGCTCCCGATTCGTACTTGGAAATTTTTAGCATTTCGAACACTGCGCTTCCCATGATAACTCACAGAATGGCTAGCACGACTTGAGTTGAATTTTAGCAACATAAGATCTCATGTCACTTATTGTATTTAGGGATAGTTCAGAAGCGTGACAGACGAACTATTCTATCATTTCCTGGGGCTATTATTTGAATGCCACAACTTTCAGGGCTAATTTTTTGGTCTTCACGAAAAACTGATATTGTGAACTTGATTCCGCTTCTTTCAAGGAGAAATAATTGAAAGGAAGTCCCGAAACACGAGAAATTAGGTCCAAAAGTCACACCGTCACGGACCGTGCCTTATGACTCGCGCCGTTCGACGTTGAACGTCGCAACGACTGCTGCATGTCGTGTCGTGCGAATCTTACAGGATTTACAGCTCACCCCAGCCCTCCCGACAAGCGCTTACGTCCCGTACCGTCGGCGTTGCGTCGAATGTGAACTAGGCTTCACTGAGTTTCATTCTTACGCAATAATCAGCCAACATGAACATGTTATTGGCCATGTCACTACCCCAGCCTGAGAAGAGATTGGTAGATGTCTATGTGCTACTCATTGGGTGTTGACTTGGTAGGTATGAGCTCTATGTTGCAACCTCTGTACCAATACTGGTACTGAAAACTTTTCAGGGCTAGCAGTGTTATGCTAGTGCAAAAATATGGTTGTTCAATTATATGGGCGGTAGGCTGAGTACAGAGTGTTTGGCTGTTGAAGTCAGGTGGCTGTGGAGGCAATAGTTGTTAAGTCAGGCATATCATTGTACCGTGAGTGCGGACGATGTGGCTAGTTTCGGCAGGTGAGTCTGAGGACACGGCGCTTGATTAAACCTACCAATCATCACCCCACGCATAGCATTACAGATACCTCTCCAGGCATAAATACCGGCATTTCAAATAGCATCGGTGTCATCCACATCCTGCCTTATGATTGCGTGAGCATGCAACTCAGGGAGTAGCGACAAACTAGTCTTGCTCTTGTTGTTTTGTGTACATGTATTATTCACACTGGGGGTGAATACGCAAAACAGAAATTACAGGTAGCAGTTCTGCGGCGCCTTTAGTCACGCTAGCATTCTTGATAATCGCGCACATGTACTTGCCAAGGGTGTGCCGTTATCCAGAGCTGTTTTCACCAGTACTGTGCGCTAGCTGCTTGAAAAGGCTGCGGTGCCAAACATCGAACTCTACTCGGGACACTCATTCCGAATTGGCGCAGCTACTACCGCCGCCATGGCAGGGATACCAGATTCGCTGATTCGTTCTGCCGGCAGGTGGCAGAGCGATGTGTGTCTACACTATATGCGAATTCCAATGGAGACCAAGTCCAAGATCTCGGCTCAGCTTGCCTCAGTGACCTTATCTGATTCTTTGCACGGACAGTTTATGTTCCATCCCTGAAGTCCTAGCATAGGCATGTAACTGCTCGATAATTTCTTAATGCTGGGGGGGGGGGGGGGGTTGTTCGGGGATAGTGCTGCTGCTTTGTGGAGCTCTATCGCTCCTAACTGGTCACTTGCTTCGCTAGTTGCTGCTCTTCACGAGCCAGTTGTTGCCAATTGCATTGGCTTTGCCTTGCAACCCCATTGTGGCACAATGTGGGTTTATTGCGGCTCCTCGCGAGCCAGTTGCTGCCAGTGGCCTGCCATTGCTTTCCAGCTCTTCACGAGCCAGTTGTTGCCAATTGCATTGGCTTTGCCTTGCAACCCCATTGTGGCACAATGTGGGTTTATTGCGGCTCCTCGCGAGCCAGTTGCTGCCAGTGGCCTGCCATTGCTTTCCAGCTCTTCGAGCTTTTGCATTACAAGACCAGTTACTCGAAGCAGCACACTGTCTCCAAAACAATTCCTTGTTGCCTTGGGCTGAGTATGAGTGTGTGAGGGATATGGTGCTAATGTCGCAGTAATGTAGTTAGTGTGTGTTAGCATCCACCGATCACACTGCCATGTTTGCATCTGCCGCGCACCGCTGCATCAGTGCATTGTGCACTGCACTCACACTGCCAGCGCATAGAATCGGGCACGCTTAGCCTGACGTCACACAACTGCTTCCTTTGAACTTTTGCTCACTGCACTCTGTAACAGTTTTCCCCTGTTCTCTATAACTTTACACTCCCTCGCACCTCATGCGTCTTACGCCTGTCTATTAGCACCTTCATTGGCGCCATTGCCACGTGTATACTATCACATTTTGCATATAACTGGTCGAGGCACGCTCAACCAGGCCTCTTACTTTTCAAGTTTGATTAAACCTGTTACACTGGTAGCAGAGGATGGTTACTACTCTGCTTTTGGCAGGTGTTCTGGTCGCTCTGCTTACGCTCCTCGTACTCGTCGTTCGGCTGATAAACGATATCAAGACCGCTCAGCGCGTTAGCCAAGGAAACCGAACGATACATCCGAACTCGGAACCGTGGGAGCCAACACCCCGCCTTACGAAAGAGCCGCCTGTGTTTGGAGGAGATTCCGCTACATTCAAAGAATGGACGTTTGCAATGGACATGGCCCTACGGTCGTTGGCACTCCCAAATGCGGCACAGAGGGTCGACTACGCGGCAGGATTTTTGACTGGAAACGCTCGTCTTTGGTTGATAGCGGCATTGGAAGCTAACCAAGTGTTTTCCGACTGGCCTGCTCTGAAAGCGACACTTGGCGATGTGTACGGACCACGGCACAACGAGGAAACCTCGCGTATGGGACTAATTTCCGCAGCGCAGCACGGGTCGCTGGACGCATACATTGCTGCTTTCACTCGCCTCAGCCTGCAAGTGCCGGAAATCGACCACCACACCAGAGCGCTGCTGTTCGTCAGGGGTCTAGTGCCGCACATCCAGCGACAGGTCATGCGTGAGCATCCACGTACCCTGGAGCAAGCTGTCATGGCAGCAAACACCGTGGAGCAGTCGTCAGGGCCACCGGCGTCGGGGCCACCAGCCAGTAGAGAGTCGCGTTCCGTGCCCAGCTTCCGTGGTCAGGGCCTCCGCAAGCTGACGGACCAAGAGCGTGTCCAACTGCGAGCAATGGGACACTGCTTTGCTTGCAGGAAGCCAGGCCACCTCGCTAAAGACTGTACTGAGGGTGGACAGCGCTACCCAAACGCTGGTCGCCAGTAAGAAAGGGGGTGCGCTTACTGGCGACGACCCAAGCGCCCACGCCGGTACCAGTCGCTAACCGGTTCGGAGCTCTGGAGGTTGAAGACGTTGCTCTCCAGGAACCTACGGAGCCGGAGACACCCATAGCTGTAGGAAACTGTCCCGTTGCAGAAAGGTGTCATGTCAGCAACGTCAGCGTCGGCAATGAACCTGAACACGACCTACTGCGCATACAGGGAAAGATCGGCGGTCGCCGTGCAGTGATGCTGATAGATTCCGGTTCGACGCATGACTTCATTGCAGACAGTTTTGTTCGAAAGCATCATCTTGACACGGATGCAAGCTCAGCAGTGCTGAGCGTAACATTGGCGGACGGCTCGACCAGCGAGGTCCCGCAGATTTCCACACGCACGCTAAGGGTGACAGTCGGGGGCTTCAGTGAGGAACAGCACTTTACTGTGTATCCCCTGACTCGCTACGACGCTATTCTTGGCAAGCCGTGGCTTACAAGGAACAACCCCAGCATCAACTTCCGTACGAACGAAGTTCAGTTGGACGGTGAGCCCTTTGTTGCCAAATTGCCTTCAGCTAACCCGCCGACAGCCGACCGGCCATCTGTGGAAAGCATGTTTATCAGTGGCCGACAAGCTCGTCATGCCCTGAGGAGTGGAGCCGAGGGGTTTCTTGCATGGGTCACTGCTGCAAACGAGGAGAATCGTTCCGGGCCACAACTCCAGGAATCAGAGCAACAAGACATCCAGAACCTGCTCAAGAGGTACCAGGATTTATTTCCAGACGAGCTGCCGAATGAGCTTCCACCGAAGAGACCAGTCGACCATGAAATCCAGATAGAAGATGGAGCCAGACCACCGTCTCGACCCGCCTACCGCCTGCCGAAACCAGAGATGGACGAGCTCCAGTCACAGCTATCAGAATTACTTGAGAAGGGATTCATTGAGCCAAGTAAGTCGCCATACGGTGCACCTGTGTTTTTTGTGAAAAAGTCGGATGGTACTCTGAGAATGGTGTGCGATTGG